ACCATTAACAAAAACAACAACACAGAAACATTAGTTGAAAGACATGCAGCAGAAGACATGCAGTTGACAATCAACTGGAAGAAGAAGGCTCTGGTTTCTTGCTACAGCGCCCCCAAAGAAGCTCAATGATCTGTTAAATTCTGATCACTCTACTATGCCTCTGAATATCCATACCTAGCAGAACTAAAGAGAAAAAGTGCTTAATGAATATCCAGTTACACAATGAATAAATTATAAAGGGCTGTAGGGCTTGCATGTAAGGCACAGTCGTGAGCCCACATGTGCTTCCAAACAGCCTGTGTTATTACAGATGCTCCTTGGACCAGGCCAACTCATTCTCAACCTTAAGGAAATGGTCCCATTTTAATAAACTAGACTTTTAGTGCCTTGGTTTCCTGTGGCTGCTATAACAAATGACCACAAACTCGGGAGCTTAAATGAATCATAACTTACTCTCTCATGGTTCCTGAGGGCAGAAGTCTGAAATCAAAATCCCTTGCTGAAATCAAGAAGTCAGCAGGACCACACTCCCTCCACAGGCTTGAGGGAAAGAATCTGTTCCTCGCCTCTGCTGGTTTTTGGCAGCTCCCTGCACTGTCTGGCTATAGCTTTATCTCCCCAATCGTTAAGGTCAGCATCATCAAGGCTTTGACTTCCCCTCTGTGTGGGCAAGATCCTTCTCTGCCACTTTTTTACCATGGCAGGTGATTGCATTTCTGGCCCACACAGATAACCCAGGATTACTTCCCCATCTCAAAATCCTTAACTGAATTACATCTGCAAGGACCCCTTGTCCAAATAAGATAACATTTACAGGCTTCAAAGACTAAGCCCTTAAGAGTCCGAGGTCTTGGAGTGCCATTATGCAGCCTACTATGCCTAGCACTACTAAAGATATACTTAGCATTACCAAAAGAACTGAGCAGGCAGTAGTGAGTACAAGTCTCACAATGTCTCTGACACTGCGAGGAAACTTGTTGCACATATCTGTTATTTCTGTGTAAGGCTTGCAAATGCATGTGTGGTGACAGTAACACAGGACATGTGTCCGAACATTCTGGAGTCCAATTAAAACCTGAGCCGCCCAACAGCCTCCAGGACAGAAATGTCCACACTGAGGAATGTCTGCACTGTCCATGCTGAGTGGGCTACAAACCACTCTTCCTCATTGTTAAATACAGTCCAAGGGAAGAAATCCAAGGAGTTGGCCTATGTGGGACAGGTTAGTCTGGGTAATGAGAACGCGCTATGTCACCTATTATTCGGTAATTTCACTGAAGGGTTGAGTTGGCTATCAGCAGGCTTGGGATTTGGTCTTTAGGTTTATTGCTTTTCAATTTTTTTATTTAAAAATAAATTTTTAAATCACCCAAATGCTCTGCAGAGTCCTCCATGGCTAACAGGTTCCTATATCAGCAACACTACGTGAGAAGGGTGCGAGCTGCATGCATGGTTTATTTGGCTTCTTCCTCACCCATTAGTTATCAAGTCTGCTGGTAAATCACCTCTGAGGCAGACAGTACCAGCCCCACAGTACCAGCCCCACAGTAAGTGAAATTTTCGTACATGGCAACAGACGGGGTTACTAATGTCTGAGCAATTTTCAAGCCAAAATTAGGTTTTTGCACATGTGATGACTTGTTTTCTAGTAATACCAATGAATCTATCTTCAAAAAAACACAGGGCTGGAATGTGGGTATAGCAAATGATACACTTGCCTTGGGTACAAAATTTAGGGAATGCCCAAAAATTCAGTTATCAAAGTAACATTTCAATGAATATTCTGAAAATGTCAAATCAAAGCAGCAAACACTATGGCCAATAGGTTTACTACCTGATAAATAAAGTTTTATTGGAACTAGAGCCAGAATTTGGGCCATGGTAGTGTGGAAGAGTCGTGTGATAGCTGGATCATGTCTTTAAAACATTTCGTGTTCATCAAAGATTTTTTTGCATTATTTTGATTTATAAATTGATTTTTTTAATTAAAAACTACTTTAAACCCAATTTTTCAATATAACCTTTTTCCTAAAAAAACAAATATTATGCTCTTGGTAAGATACAAAAGTTCTTTTTTGCTAAATTTCCAGACTGTCCCAGAGAATATTTAAAAAGACATACTCAAGAATTTGGATTTAATAAAATTAATATTTTCTGCTCTTTTGTCAAAACTACTGCTAAGTGAAACTGAAGCTTTGTTTTTTTTTAAACTATGAGCACATAATGGACAGAAATTTAACTTGTCATTACTTCTGCTCCATTGATACAAATTCCAGTGAAATGAAAAAAGCAAAAACATCTCAGAATTATTATGAAAACAATTTTTACCCCACAGATGCCTTGGGGAAGCCCAGGAGTATAGAGACCAAGATGAGATAATCATTGCCAAAGACTCAACAATATATCAAAATATGGTCAATAACAGGACAATCTCAGATGGAGGAAACACGATTAGAACCTAACCCCAAAATTAGTTTTGCAAAAATAAGTAGTGAAGAGTTAAAGGAAATTGAACTACCTGTCCTAAGTCTTTTAGGCTACCAGTAAGATTTAAGCAGGGTGTGAAAGAATCAGAAGGCCAGGAATATAACAATGAGCTGAAAGCACAGCCATTTTAGGGCAAATTGGGGGAGAAACACAATTCCACTCACTCCTTACCTCCCAGCCCTTACACCTCCCTCACCTCCGAAGCAATAGGGAGCAGATGGCATGGAGCAGCATCTGCAGCCTAACAGCCACGCGAGGATAGCATGCTCCAGGCCATCCAAGCCCCCGGAGCCAGCCGTAGAAGCTCTCTCTTGGCACTTTCTAGCATAGGGTAGAAATTCCTATGGCAATTCCTGGGCAAATTCCTAAACCAATACTGATCTCTCATGGAAAGATAAATAGACTATTAATACCTTCTTCATGTGATTATAATAAAGAGTACATGAGATAATAGTGCCAGAGTTAATATTCAATAAATCTATCCTATTAAAAATAAAAAAACAGGGCCAGGAATTTAGCTCAGTGGTTCCTGCCTCGCAGGCATAAAACATACTTTTATACAAATTCACTGTTGTTTTCTTAGTCTGTCCCTGCTGCTATAATAAAATAGAGTGGTCTACCTGGGTCCACTGTTATCTTAGACATGATAACTTATAAACAATAGGAATTTGTTGCTTACAGTTCTGGAGGCTGGGAAGCCCAAGAGCCAGGCAACAGTAGGTTATGTGGTCAGGTCTATTCTTTATGAGTGGCACCTTCTAATCATGTCCTCACATGGCAAAAGGGACAGACACTGTGTTATCAAACGGAGGAACATTTCCCTTAAGTCTCTTTAAGGACACTAATCCTACTCACAAAAGCTCTACGCTCACGCTCTGGTGACCTCCCGAAAACCCTACTTCTTACTACCCCCACATTTAAGATTAGATTTCAACATGAACTTTAGAGAGACATTCAAGCCATAGCAGCTGCATTTGTGACTTTTCCCTCCATGTATAATGCTTATCCTGAAGTCATGGCAGTGTTAGGTGTCAGCAAGGATTACTTCCGCCCTTTCCAGCAACACTGGAAGCTTGTCTGGACCTGTCACTCATTCAGGTTGCTTTGTTGTAGTTCTCCTACCAACAATTCACTGAAAATCTGATGCTTAAATGAAAAAAGCATATCTAAATATAGAATTATGAAAAAACTGAAATGTTTATTATGTAACATCATACTTTCTATTTACTTAAATCAATTTTTATTGTTGTTAAAAACATATTTTGAAACTAATAATTTGTAATGACTTAAAACTAGCAAAACATTTAAACAACCAACAGAAAAAAAATACCACCTCTGCTTTTTGCTAATAGATCTCTGCACGACATCCACATTCTAATCCCCAGAACCTGTGAACATGGTACTTTACATGGCAGAAGGGACTTTGTCTACATGATAATGTAAAAGACCTGAGGTGAGGACCTCATGGACCCAATGTAACACAGAGGTCCTTAAAAATGGAAGGTGGGGGACAGAAGTTAGAGAATGATGTCACTTCAAGAATATGCTGCACTCTCGGCTTTGATGACACAAAAAAGATCACATGTTAAAGAACATAGGCAGCCTGTGTAAGCTGTGAGAGGCATGGAAGATTCACTATAGTCTCCAGAAAGGAATGCAACCCTGTAACACCTTGACTTAGGCCCAATCACACCCATATGGACTACTGAAAAGGAGACTTGTAAGATGATAAAATTGTGTTATTTAAGCCACTAATTTTTCTGGTAATTCATTACAGCAGCAAGTAGAAAACTAATACAGTCCCAAAGGTCATCCCCCATCACCCTTGGCATGCTTTAGTGCCTAACACAGTTAAGTAGCCAGGTCACAAGGGTGGGCTCTAGTGATTCCCTGCCTTCTCTGAGCTTCCTAGAGCAACTGCTGGCCGTTTTAGGGCCATAACATAAGAGCTTTATCATTTATGACCATCTCTATCCCTGAAGACTTGGACTCCTGAGGTTGGGGCATGACAATGCCCACATTTAACTAGTTTCACTGGGAACTTTATTAGAGATGCCCAGTAAGCCACACTTTGAGAAACATTTGTTTCTGTGTATAAGGAGCTTACAATTTAGATGCTAGGTAAACATAGTTCCAATTTCTAATAGATAAAAATGTAGGTAACCTTCCAAAGACACATCAATAGCCAAGACAAAGGTAGAGGTTGAAAATACCAGAACATGTAAAATCTTTTGTATGCTTATGTCAACAAAAACTAGTCACAGAATTTTTTTTTTTTTTTGTACTGGGGATCGAACTCAGGTCCCTGCAATTGTGAGGCAGGTGGTGGAACCACTGAGCTAAAGCCCAGCCCAAGTTACAGAATTAGTGAAAAGCAGATGATGTCTCTGTCTGCTCTTTCCTATGTAGCAGGTGCTTTCCAGCTCTGGAACAGGTAAACAGAACCCTGGCTGCCTTAGACCTCTCATGGAAAGTACCCCGCTGGGCACGGGGCCAGCCTCTACCTGTCCCACCTGTTTCCTGATGCAGTGGTGAGGTGCTGGCCCAGGGTGTGTCATCTTCAAATTGAACCCAGTTGCTGATGGCCGAGGCCAGGTCAGGTGGGGGCTGTCCAGGGCTCCCAGAAGGAGAAGCTGCTTCAGAGATGAGGCCCATCTTTTCAGAGGAATCATCTTGCTCTGAGTGGGAAAGGTCCCGAGAGCCTCCATCCACTGCCTGGTTTTCCGCAGAGGAGCTCTCAGACTGGTCTGAGGAAGATGACAGTCCCGGGAGTTGTTCCTCAGCTCCCCCTGAAACAGAGACCAAATGCCACTGTTACATGAGGAAGGACGTTCATCAAACTGTCTCTGAGAGGCAAAGTCAAGGGGCGACTTTGGGACTTGCCACTATCAAGGGAGGGGAAGGGAAACAGCTATCCTGAGCTGTCTCTCTGCTCAAGAACTTTCCCTCAACATGTCCCCAGTCAGTATCTGGGCAGGCTGAGAAGAGTTCTGGTCACTTAAAAAAAAACTTTTGGATGGTACTGGGGATCAAATGTGTTAATTTCATACTGAGCTTTTTACATTTTGAGACAGAGTCTCATTAAGTTGCTACATTGCCTAGGTTAGACTCAAACTTGTAATCCTTCTGCCTCAGCATCCCAGAGTACTGGGGTTACAGTTGCGTGCCACTACACCCCACTTGGTCACTCTTCATCTCAGCATCTACTCCAGTGCTTGGACATCACAAATGCGAATGCCTGTAGAGCTCCAACAAGAGATAAATCTGAATTGAGTGGGACAAATAAAGGCAACAGGGACTGTGGAGACTGTGGCTGAGCTTCTCTCTGGACTAAACACACTGAATTCAAATTTAAAACTCTGCCATCCAATCTGCACTAGAGTCTGTAGGCACCAGGTGCAAATTCTGCACTAATGACCAGCTCAGTGTGACATAAAGGCTCTTCCTGGTATATTTCATACCCTCAAAATTTTTTTTTGAAAGTAAAAGGCGGGGGACACAGAGGTAGATATATAAATCTATAAGTGTGCTAAAATTCATGACAGGTGTACTACACAAAATAAATTTTGCTACCTGAGAATTTTTAAAAAGCAAACAACTTTTTCCTACCACTAGCCAAAAACATTATTGACCTGATGTAATCACAGCCTTTAGACTAGCACTGCACAGTAAAAATAAAAATTGAATCACATTTATAATTTTATATTTTCTAGTAGCCACATTTGAAAAAGTGGAAAGAATCAGGAGATTTTTTGGGGGTGGTACTTGAGACTGAACCCAGGGCCTTGCACATGCTAGGCAAGTGCTTTACTACTGAGCTACATCCCCATCCTTTTTCTTTTAATTTTGAGACGGGATCTTGCTATGTAGTCCAAGCTGCTATGAAAACGTGGTTCTCCTGTCTCAGCCTCTAGAATAGCGAGGATCAGAGGTATGCATCTCTGCACCTGGCACTTTTGTGAACAGCAGGAGGATGGGACCTAGGGCCTAGCTTATGTACTCTACCACTGAGCTATATCTCTAGGCTCAGAAACTATTTCTAATAATATGCATTTCAACCCAGTATGTATAATTTATAATTTCAAAATGAAATAGAAATAAAAAATTGTTAAGATAATCTTTTTCTTTTAACTAGGTAGGTCTTTGAAATTCAGGATAGGTATGTTACACTTTTAGCATTTCTTAATTCAGATTTGCCATATTCAAGGGATCAGTAGTCACACAGACACCATCTACGGATGGCACACCCATAGATTTATACTTTTCAAGTACTGCAAATGAAGATGCAATGATTTCACATGGTACCGGCAGCTGACGCAGAACAGAACAAAATGACACAGTTTTGCAGGTATCTCCTGGATCCTCTCCGTACCTCCGGGAACCCTAGTTCCCTAACCACCTTCATTGTGATCAATGTTGATAATACTGAGTTTCCTCCAATGGCCAGGCACTGTTCTCAGTACTTTATAAAATATTAATCCATTTAGTCTTCACAAAGACTCCTGAGGTAGGTACTGTGATGACTGTACAGATGATGAAACTATGCACAGAGATTAAAGAAGTGATTTTTTCTAAGGGTACACCACTCTTCTGTGATGAAGTTGGGACTTGAGCTCAAGCAAAATGGCTCCAGAGCCTGCCACTGTAACAATACACGTTAAAACTAGAGAAAACCTAAATTGCTGGAGGACTAACCAAAAGAAATGTTTCCAGTAAAGTACTTCATAAATATCGTTACATTCTTTGGAAGAAAAGAACCAATACTTTGGTGTTTTCAGACCCCTTTTTAGGGCCCTAAGGTTAGTCAGATGCTTCCTCTGGGTTTCTAAATGGAAAAATTCATAAATGTCAGGAAAGTGGCCAAACTGGATCTTTTTCCTTTATTAAGATCCTATTCAAAGAATGATCAAGTAGAATTCATAGCAAACAGGGAGTGTTCTTCACAAACCGTGTCATTTTAGGAGATGAAAGCACTCCTTACCCTCAGAAGGGACAGGAAAGAGTGGCTCTTCATTGAAGGAGACCCACTCTGACTGACGGGTAGCAATCACATGGTCCAAGGTCGTCATGCTAAGAAGGCACCGGTCATCTTCACACTGCTGACCTCAGATGGACCCCAGAAGAATGTCTGGGGTGGAGGAAGCATACAGTATCTTACAGAGGTCTTGCCAAGGACAGCACTCAGAATGTAGACGATCAGTTCTTCTTGCATTTGATTACTCTGCTGGACAGAAATCTGTTTAAAAAAAGTTAAAAAGAATTACCATCACATTATACCAAACATACACAGGTCTAAGGCTTTCAGTTCTGCCCACAAGGAAGTGGTTTACAACTTGCCATATTTCTCTCTGCTTCAGTCTTGTCTCTACTTTTTACACAGAAACATTTGTCACTAGCATCAAGATGTCTGGATAATAAGCCTTCCTACCAGACTTGTAATTAATCACCCAAATTCCAACAATTAGATTCCCTAATTTCCTCAATAATTATATTTGAAATACTGTTGTCTATAATATAGTACCATAATTGTGAAGCAAATATTAAAATTTTTCAAAGTATTTTCTTTTTCTTTTACCAGATGGTGAAATAGAAGTGTGGTCTTTTCCATTAAATCAGTACAGTTTCTTGCCTTAGGCAGGTAACTTTCTGCAAGCCTGATTTGAATCTTTGGCAGAAACCCAATAATTTCCAGATGGTCTCTCCAAGCATGGTATTCCAATCAAGAAAAACAAAAGTGGAGTCATCTTGTTCATCTACTGTAAGTGGATGGGGAATATTTGCTTTAATGAGATATGTGAATTAAACACATCCTCAATCTAGGCCAATTAGAATTAGTATATGCATGTCAAGCCTTTACTTATATTGTAATCATGTTCTATGTATACAGAAGAATTGTTTGGCTTATAATTTTGCTTATGCTATTAATGTCTTTTTTACAACTTGAACCTAGCTCTTGATCTTGTGATAAATTAATAAAATCAGAATTAATGCAAAATTAATGTGTTTCCATAAAAGAGCTACTAACTGCCTTGAGCAATACTACTGCTCACTAGCTGAATACACACAATATTCAGATAAGTTTCTAGAATAACTTAACTCTTAGCCTTCACCTCACACACAATAACAAGAAAAATAGGATATTTTACTACACAATATTATCTTCAATACGTAATATACACTGGGAAAATCAGCATGTAAACATTTAATAACTTTTGCCCTTCTTGGTGATTAAAGCAATTATTTTTGTTTTACCTAGGCTTTTGTTGTATCTAAAAACAACTGTTTATAGAAAATTCGTAATTTTAGGAAATATTTTCATACCATCCTTCACTTGGTTTAATATCCATCTTAGCTGAGATGTATAAGTGGTACTATTATTCTTTAATAGGTGTAAAATATCTGGGCAGAGAGAAAATGAATGGTGCCATAAGGTTATTTGGTGCCTTCAGATTGCTAAATAAAATGCTACCTTCAGGCTTCTAAGTGGAAGGATGCACAAATCTCAGGGCAGTAACACACTGACCCTTTAAAATCCCAAATAAAGATTGATCAAATAGAAGCCACAACAAGCAGAAGTGCTAGATACACCAAGCTAGGAAGAGATAGATCTAACTGCTGGAGCCAGCTCTGCCAATGCCAAAATATTCTAACTTTTGGGTCACAGATAAAAAAAAAAGTACTACAGGATGTGGATGGACAGACAGATGCTTTATAAACATCAATCACAACAAAACTACAACAAAATGCCCTGGGAAAAAATTTCCTATGTGGAAATCTGCCAGAAACCCTATTTATACAGAGGATGAACCATCCAGAAAGCCCTCCTCCAAGGCCCTCCCCCGAGATCCTTAGCAACACAGGACGGGACATGTTCAAATGTCCTGGAGAGTGCAGGTGTCCTAACCCAGATCTCACCAGAGAGCAACCCTGGAGCCCACACGCACTGAGAGCTAATTCCCATGCGCTTCTGCCTACAGAGCCTTTCTTGAGTCCTGTCCCTATGTCACTCAGTGTGGTTACGGCTGTAGGCCAAGATAACACAGCAAAACTGAAGAGTCAGACACTTCTTTCCTCAACAGCAGCAGCAGCAGGGCATAAATCCACACTCCCCGCCCTCTCAAAAGGAAAGCCACAGCAAAGGCCGCATGCTGACACATGCAGCATCAGAACCCAACTGGGGAAAAACATCCTGCTGGTCCTGTGGGGAAGCCAGCGAAATCCACAGTAAAGGGGTAGGGGAGGAGAGGGCAGAAAGAAGGGAACTGCAAAGGGGATGAGAAAACATACAAATTTTAGGATAAGAGCACCGTATAGATGAATAGCACAGCTCCTAAGCTTTACTGATGATAAACCAGTACCACAAGGAAATCAAGTACAGCAACCAAGCCTGAGAGCTTGGGCTCGGACTCACAAGTAACTGTCCAGCTGGACTCTTGCACATTCTTGGACTCATAATTCAGCCTCTGCAAGCCTCACTTCACCCCTGTACAACAAGAATAAAACTCACCTTATAATTCGAAGGATTAAATGAGATAATGTAGGCCAAGTGCTCAGGGTTGAGCATAATAAACCCTGTGTGACGATGACAACGATAATAATAATGGTAGGTGAGCTTCTGGAGCTTCAGGTTACACCAGCTCTCTTCCAAACTCCTTGTAAGTGCTAGCCATTGCCATCATGCTGCTTTGCTGAATGTCTCACCTAAGGCTGCAGAGCTTGTTCGTGGAAGTCTTAGGGCTACAATGCAGATTTCATGAAATCACCCCATTTATGCTGTTTACACATTCTGGTTTTCAGTCATTGTTGAGCCAGAATGTGTCAACAACCTAGATGTGAGGCCGTGCTCAGTTACAGGATGTGGAAGGTCAATTCAGAAATACCCTCTCTTGGGCCAGGGATTTAGCTTAGTGGCACTGAGCCTGCCTCACTAGCACAAGGTCCTAAGTTCAATCTCCAGTACCAAAAAAAAGAAATGCTCTCTATTTACAGATATAGGCATATTCTAGATGAGGAAATGAGACCCATCAGAAAGTACGGAAGAAGCTGGCGCACACCTATAATCTCAGCATTCCTGGGGACGGAGGTAGCAGGACTGAAGATCTGAGCCTAGCCTGGGCAGTTTGTGTCTTAGTGAGACACTGTCTCACAATTTAAAAACAATTAAATAAATAAAAAAGGGCTGAGGAGGTAGCTCAGTGCAAAGGCTCTGGGTTTAAACCCCAATGTTGGAGGAAGGGGTGGGGGGAAGGTAGGAAGGATGGAAGGAAAAGAAAAAGAAAAAGAGTGAAAGGAAGAGAGTGATAATACCCTCCTTAGCTTATTCATCCTAGATCAGACACAGGCTGGTTGCAAATAATGAGTAGTCCTGAGAAAAGCTGGTAGAATATTCATTACAGGGAACCTCTCCCATCATAATCTTGTGAAATGGATTTTATGTATTTGTCATAGAAGAGCCACATTCAATAAGCCATAAGATACCAGACCTTGAGAAGCCTGAAACCTACAAAGGAAACCAATAATTGTGAGGCTGAGTTCAGACTGGAATTAGTTCCTTAGATGAAAACCTCACCCCATTTTTAGAATATGAATCATAAAGTAAGGCTTACAGTCACCACAAGTGAATGGTGACTCAGAATCAGCAGCAAGGCTAGCCAAAAATCACTAGATAGATTTTCACAGCGTCCCTTACACCCTAAAATTGGGGGAAGGTGTCCAATGTGATGGGAGTCACAGAAGTAGATGTGTCTTACATCAATCCTCTAATATGTGTACATAAGCCCTATGCATCTGGAAAAGTACCAGGTGTCCTTTGCTGTAGGGATCCCACAGTTGCTCACAGTCTAGCTGGGAGGTTGGATACACAGAATCAACAAAGGTCCTGCTAAATGACACACTGTGAGTGCTGTGACAGTTTAGCCACAGGGAGGCCTTTGGAGGCTGGAATAACCCAGGGCTAAGCAGGCTTCTCAGGTTTAGAAGATGGTTGGTACTGGGCTGCAGGAAGGGGAGAAAAGATGTCCTTGAGGCAAAGATCAACACGAGAGAAGATTAACATCCAGACCCTAAGAAGGCTTGTTTCTGGATCAGTCTGGTGAGGATGGCACTGCCTACTGGGGAAAGGACTGACCAACCTTAAAAGCTAAGAAGACTCAATAGGAAATGAGAAGATGCTAAAGGTTTGGGAGTAACGTGAGTTTAGAAGGCATACTTAGCAGAGATTAACACTCCTCAGTCTCCACTGGGCAGAAACTAAGAAGGGATGGGAAGTTATAAGGCATGTGAGATCGCTAATGTGTTCCACAAAGGCAGGGACTATTGTCATCAGGAATATGCACTGGGCACTTGGTCCAAGACCCTTTCTAGATTGTAAGGGTACAAGGAAGAAAGCATTTCTGCTCTTAAGCAGCTTATGGTCCATCGTAGGGAGGTACCACAGTGACATAAAACAATAACCTCCATTCTCTAACATGTTGATAGGTTATTTATTAAAACTGCAATGGCAGACAGTAAGAACATTCAGATACTGCAGATACTACTAAGAACTTGAGCTGGGGATGGTCTTGGGCTGCATCTTCAACTGGAAAAGAGAGCTCTGAGCAAAAGCATGGAGAGGCAAAGGTGTTTAGGAAAAGGCACAGGAATGGCATACTATCTAACAGTGAATTGCACTCTGTATCTGAAGAGAGTTGGAGTGGTGTCCAGTACACTGGAAAAGGAGAGGCTGAAACAGTGATAGCTCTGAATTTCAAAATGAGTTTGAAGAACTCTGGAAACTCTCCTCTCCATACCCACCGAGAATGCCTTCATTTGGCCCTTCATCCCTCATGCAAACAGTTACTAGCTTCCTCTCCATCTGCATCCCTTAAACATCACTCCCCTAGTCTGTTATACAAACTTATGCGAGAGTGGTCTTCCTAAATGAAAATGGCTGGGCACTGGTTTTACTTAAAAACTCCTCAGATTCTTCCTAACAGAATAAAGTGAGATATGAAAAATGAACAAAAGTTCCCTGAGAGCAGAAGGTGCATTAGTTTTGTCTATGGTTATATCCTTACCACTGAGCAGAGCATGAAATAGTACTTGTTAGGTACTCAATAAATACTGCTGCATCGATACAGGCACTCTGGCAACCACATTTCTAATCTCATTTGCCAGTATCTCCCTGTATGAACCATATACTTTTTGAAAATTTTCTATGAAATTGTTTTTGTGTATACTTTGTCTTATTCAAA